CATGCTTTACATTCTAAATAAGAAAGCAATAAATTTTTAGATCGTAGAATATTAATGACATTTTCAGTATTCATTTGACGAATTCTCATCAACCGTTCAAATCTTGTTTGTTGTCTTCTCATTTAAGGGGTAAAAAATATAAAAAATAAATCTGGTCTAATATCTGCCCTTTAGGGCAGATATTAGACCAGATCCAAACATTTTTCTAGAATTGAGTTTAATGTTTAAAAGTTCATTATTTTGAAGAAAAAATCAAAAAAAACTTAATTGTGCTGGTGTCCCTGGCATAAGGGCTATAAAAAAATAAAATTTTGAGAAAAACCCTCTACTCAAAGATAGATGAAAAATTTTGGATCACGCACATTTTCTGCCCCCGGAGGGGGCAGAAAATGTGTATAATTATTTTTTTGAAAATAGCCCTTAAAATGAAGAATTGTGCATCTTAAATTGATTAGCTTTTAAGAATTGGGGCTTTTGATGTTGATACTATTCTAAATATTTTACGAACCCAAACACTTTTGGCTAACAGTTTAAGGCGTCTTTGTTGTTCTGAAGAAATGATAGAAAGGAGAAAAGAAGACACTTTTGATGGGAGGGCTTGGGTATGCAACAACATAATATGCTCAAAACATAAAACAAATCCAAGTATACGTTATAATTCTTTTTTTAGCACTTTAATTTGAGTATAGCAGATGTTTGACATTGATCATTCTTTGGATTGAAGATGAGAGTATTACAAAAATTACTCGAAATTATGGTATACACAGAAACACTGTCAGCAAATTTTTTTTAAAGCTTCAAGAATTTTTCGCTACACATCTTCAAGATAAACTCATATGCTTGGATGGTCAAAGAATAATTTGCCAGACTGATGAATCTCTGTTTTCTCATAGGCAAAAATATAACGTTGGACGTGTTCCAAACACACAAATTTGGGTCTTTGGTATCGTTTATACAAGCTTTAAACCCGCTTTAGGCTACATGCAAATTGTAGATAATAGATCTAGCGTGACTCTTTTGTCAATTATTGATAAAATTTGATTGCCAGGAACTATATACACAGGGTTGAATCGGCAGCACAAGGAACATTGACAAGATTTTAGGCTATGAACATTTAATAGTAAATCATTCACTAAATTTTGTAAATCCAACAAGTGGTCCGCATACACAATATGGTGAATCATATTGGGCTAGGCAGAAACTTAAAATCAAAAAAATGAAAGGCTGTAGACGTGAACGGTTATCCTTATTGTTATCTGAATTTGTATAAAAAGGTTTTTATTGTAGTATTAAGTTAGTTATATTAATAAGTTTGTTGAGTTTATATTTAAAGTTATCATTTCCTAAATTATTTAATCCTTTGTTGTTTTTAGAACATGATAATTTTCAACAAAAATGTTCAAATACAAATTTATGTAAATACTCTTTATGATCTTTTTAATCTATGTGTGCATATTCTGTAGTTAAAATAATTTTTTTCCTTTTAGCTGCCTTCGTCGTTTTAATGTTTAGGGCAGAAAATGTACATTATCTCAAATTTTGGCGCTACTTCATCTTTTCACCCCCACCCAATAACTACGTACAGAATTTTTTAAAGTGAACGTAGTTATTTGGAGGGGGAGGAAAGAAGAATTAAGGGTAAAAAAAGAATTATTTTTTAACCCCTATTATAGAAAATCTAAAAGTGAAAATTTTAAATTTAACGATGTTATATTACTTGAGAATTTTAAAAACTAAGAATTAATTTTAAAATACAATTTAATCAAAACAGAAATCCCTTGTGTTAAATGTGATGAAAGAATTAAGATTATAATGGCTGCCACGTATATAGATGGGTATGCTTACAGATGCTCTTCTAAGACATGCAGATCCAATGCAAGCCTAAAGAAGGGATCTAAAATGGCCTCCCCGAATATAGAACTTGTAAAAATTCTAAGGCGGGTGTATTGCTGGGTATATGATTATATCCTAGCGCGCGCAGGCCATTGATTTCTGCGATTGTTCGAAGACTAGCTATATTAAAATCAAAGATTTGATTTTGCAATTAATTTCTGTTTAAGAGTCGGAAATGGTTAAATGGGTGGAGAAGGTAAAAGAGTGCAGTTTGACAAAACTTCTATTTGTAATGGGGAGTTAAAATCGAACCTTTCTAGTAATCTAGACAACAAACCTTATGTACAATGGTTAGTAGGGGGAGCAGAAGAGGGAAATTGTAGGACTTTTGTTCTAAAGCTTGTTCCTAACAGAAAAGTTCCGACTATACTAGATATGTTCAAAGAATATGTTGTACCCGGATCTATCATTGTTACTGGTGGTTATCCGTCTTGCCCCGGGGCCGTTGCTAAATTTGGATCTTGCCATGAAGTGGTAAACCACTCTGTTGGGTATTAAATGCTTAAGGAGTACATACGAACTAAATTGAAAACCCGTGGTCTTATCTTAAGCATGCTTACCGAAAACGTGGCGGTATTAATAAAGGGGGAATTGGTTTTTTTAAATGAATGGAAATGGAGAAAAAAAAATATCTAAAATAGTGATAACAAAACGTTAAGGATAGCCTTTTTTAAATCAAAAAAAAATGGTTAAATTAATTATTTTAAACCAATAATCTTTTAAATAAATATTTTAATTTTTTGCAATACTGAGGGGGGAGGTGGAAAGATGGAGTAGCGCAAAAAATTTTATTATACTCTCTATAGGTTTATATATAGTCATAATTCGATCTGTGCTTGTGTGGTTTATTTTTGATAATTCCTTTTTCTTTTAAAACTAAGAAGTGATTTAAAATTTAAAAAAAATCTGGCCTATAAAATGAAAATAACAATTAATGATGAAATTTTTAGCGATGGAGAAAAAATATTAGATTTTTTATAAACAACTGTGTTATTGAAGAAGTAATATATTTTAATGGTTGCAGTGCTCCTTGTAAAATAAAATTATTAAATGTAAATAGTAACAAAATTATATATAGGTGTACGAGGCGTGGGTGACATAGGCGGCATTTTTTTATTCAATTTTTTCTTTAACTAAAAAACGCACGGTTCCAAAATCATCTGGTAACTTTTAACCCCTAAAATAAAAAAATAAAGAAAAATTTTTAATCAAATTTTCAATTAAAACTAAAAACTATTTTTTTTAAAAATTCAACGCTGTAATTTTCACCATAGTTTTTTAAAGTATCTTTCGTTTTTTTATCAGTTTCTATAAAAATACTAGTATCATCATATAAAGATCCCAAAGGCTTATTTTCGCCAACACTTTGTTCAATAATTAATTCTTTTACGATAAGATAAAAAGAAGACTATTTAGTTCTTACCAAGCTAATTAAATGCCAGTGAAATCCTTCAGTACTATTTGTAGTTCTTGGGATATTTTTTATTGTTCTTTCAAACATGTTTCAAAATTCTATACTTTTATTACTGTTATCAAATTTTAAGTATTCAGTTTGAAAGCATTCAAGAAGTCTTAAAACTTTCCATGATTTTTCATTAGTAAAGTATTTTTTAAGGCGAGCAGAAACAGCCAAT